CCAGGGTAAAGATTATGGTCAATTTGGACTTCAAAGATTAGGTATTCAATAAATTCTAATTCTTTGCCACTTCATTATTCCATATTCTGTTTTCTTATGTCCAGTGGTATAAGAGTATCTGCAGAATGTTATCAGAATTTAGATTTTATAGATTATTGAGATTATTAATAGCTTTACAATCTCTTTTAAGTAGTACCTACAAAGAAGTAAGGCACTATAGATGCCTTGCAACATGCTGCTTAGTATAGCTATTAATTTGTAGTGTTTTGAGCAATGTTTTTTTATAAATATGTGTAAAATGCATTCATTTCACAGCTTAATAGCCATTTAGAAAACACATGTAGAATGCTCTGATAAACTGATTTCTTGCTCATGGTCCTGAAACGACTTTTCATGCAAACTTTTGCTAGAAGAGGGAAACTGATAAATATTTTCAAGTAAATATTTATATTGCTCTTAAGAACAAAGTCTTACTTACTTGATAAGTGTTTATTTCAAAAAAATCAACTTCTTGGTTCTATGCCAAGAGAGTTTTGGTAGCAGAGTAAAAGTATTCTGTTGTGCCTCTTAAGAAAACACTTTCATTTTCTTTTCTGATACTGTATTAAGAACTGTGACATTTCTCCTTCCATGAGAATTTGAATTTAATTAATATTGAATTCTTAAATGATGAACTATTATAGAGAATGCCATAGAAGAGGACTTACTTTTCAGTAACGTAATGTCTCTTTAGATAAAATACTTATCTTCAGGTAGAATTCCTCCATGTGGATAGAAAATTATGTTCTTTCAGCCACAAAGTATTGTCCACTCTTATTTTTTTATCAGTAAAATCAGGGATTTCTGTAATTCTTGGATGTGCTGAAAGGATTTTTTAATGACTGTATGAGATAAAGGGAAATTTTTCTCTTTTTACAGTTTTTAGCCACAGTAAAATGCACTGTTTGGGATCTTGATTTTCACTGTATTTGCATATGCAAATTATTCAAAAAGAATTTTTAGAAATATCTTTATCAAGAAATATTTTCTTTAAATGAATATAACTAGGTATTTCCTTTCATTAACATCTTAAAAATATTTGGAAGTAATCTAATTAAAATGTAAGTCTTCCCTAAGTGTTTTGATAGGTTATTATGAAAATTATATTTCTCCAGCTAATTTTCAGAGGACATTTGTGCGATCCTGTTCTCTAATATACTGAAGATGCTTTTTGTTCATTTATAAC